GTAGGCATTGGGGGTGGCATGTAGTTACCTGGATTCTTTGTAATTGGTTATCACAGTGAAACTGAAACCGTGTATAGAAACGGGTTGAATCAAGACTGAGCAGGGTTGTTTTTGGTTTTTTTTAAGCCTATCCATTCTCTCTTGGTGCTTTGTTGCAGTGGGCTGTGCTGATTTTCTTGTTGCAGTGTGAAAGTGCTGGTGATTTCTGCTCTTGTCCAAATACCAGCCCATGCACCATAAGTGGCAGTGCCAAGGCATGGGGGCACGGGGACACCAGCACTGCTGCACTGCAGGGCTGTCCCTAATGGGAGAAGTGACTATTGTTATTGTAATTAGAGGAAAGATGTAATTAAGCGTAATGGGCTGAAGCTCTAAATGAGCTCTGTGCTCACACACAGAATTAGGGAAGGAGCAGAAGGTTGGGGTTGAGGCGTGCACTATGGGAGCTGCACTCGGTGCCGTCCCTCCTCCCACGAGCGTGTGCTGCAGCGGCAGTGTGGGCTGCAGTGTCCCCCATTGTCACCCCCCTTGTGCCCCTGCTCCTGCAGTGCATTCCCCCTGAAATCTGGCATCCAGCTCACCTTGCCCAAAGCCAGAGGTGCTGCCTATAGAAGTGAAGGTTTGCTTTGCAAAGCCTGTGCTGCAGCACCACCCGTGCTTTACTTGCAAGTCGCAGCGTGCACGGTATTCACTCTGATGAGCTTTACCGATACCAAAGTTAGCGTTTGGCCTGTGCATCTGTTCAACGTGATACCAGCACTTTTATTGCCCTGGGAGCGAACCCAAGCCTCCAGCTGTGGCCAGATTCACCCGCGAGAAGAAGGGAGCCTTGTTGCAGCAGGACGGCTCCCAGCGAGCAGCGCAGAGCGGGGAAACCTGAGAGCCGTGAGGCTGCTGGCTGGGCAGCGCTGTGCTTCTCGGTGTTGCAGCCGAGCACTTTGTCAACTGTTTTTAGAATGTTTCTCCTTGTCTGTGCTGGAAGGTTTTGTGCTTCCCTGGCGATCCATTCTCCTTCCGGACCTGCTGGTTGCATCCCATCCCAGCAGCTCATAGAGCCTTTTTGGCCCTGGGAGGCCATATCCAGGCCTTAATCAGCATAACGGGGTAAGCGAGGGCCGTGCAGTGTGCAGGTGTGTGTCCTTTCTGTGTCTGTGCTCTCTAGTTCAGAAACTGGAGCTGCCCCAGCCCGTCCATGCCCTGCTCCAGCCCTGCACAGGTGATGTGCAAGAGCTGCTGCTGAGTGCAAAAAAAATCTCCTTAGAGTAACTTAGAGATGCATCTGTGATCATTGCCCTTGGTGCTGTCTTCAAGCTTGAACTGTTTCTTTCCTGACTTACGTTTGCTTTTGACAAAACTCCACATTAGGGCCTCCCGATTTTGGATCACACTGGTGTTCCCACTGATGACCTCACTGACGATCCCCCTTCCAGCTCCAGGCGCCTCGTGCTGTGGTACGACGCTCCAGCAGGCTGCCCCAAAGCTGCCACTGCATCCCCGCAGGCAGAGCTCCTGGGCTGCATGCTGGGCACCCGTCTGCAGCTCTGCACAGCAGTCCCCAGTCCTGGGTGCCCTCTGTGCCCTTCTCCCAGCAGCACCGCCTCTCTGTGCCCCCTCCCCTGCCCCATCCCGCTGCCCCCCTGCAGTGCTGGGCTGAACACTCGTCCCGCTCCCACCTACACGCTCATCAACCACAGCCCAATTAAGCTCCATAATGTGCAGGGATGACTTGAATGCACCCAGGAACATTTCCCAGAACTCATTAGGTTTTATCCCATAAATACCTCCAATTGTGTGCTCAGGCAGCTGCCCGCTCTCTGTCCGGGGGTGTGTGTGACCCAGATTGCAGGGATGGGACTGGGGGAGTTGAGGGGGTCCTGGTTGCCCTCGGAAACCCCCCAGATTCCCCCCCCCAGTGCTGCTGGGTGCAGCAGTGCCTCTGCCACCCAACTGTCTGTGCTGTCTGTGCTCGTTGTCTGTAATTCATCTCCACATTCAGTGTGCAGCAAACTGCCGTAGCAGCCTGAGCAGCAGTAAGGCTGCTCACCCCCCATCAGGTTTTCATGTTAACTGGAAGCTTTGCTGGTGGTGATAGACGTGAAATGTGGTTTGACCACTGTGTAGCAGTGTGGTGTAACAGTGTTGTTTTCCATCCTATAGAGCTTGTTAGGCTGGCTACATTGTTTTTTGGGACACTGGGCCACTACTGTGGTGTGGGCTGGCTGCTGTGCAGGGCTCCTGGGGTTTCTCACACCACAGGCTTCTCTGTAGGTCAGTGGGCAGCGAAATGGGTCCCATAATTGGGTTTCTGTACAAGTGAGTAGGAGCTGTGGACCAGGCTGGACAAACTGGGTTTGTTAACATCTGTAAAATATAGGAGTGCTGGGGCAGCATTTCCCACAGCTCGCCATGCCTCGCTGCAGCACGTTTGTTACCTGATGCTGATTTCAAGCCTGTGCAAAAAAGAAATATTTACCGTTCCTGTGTGCTTCCCCTGCACTGAAGCCTGACTACCAATTACTCTGTATTAAATTATGTTTGGTCATGCCGGTGATTATACAGTATCCAAGCAACCCAGGCATAATCTAATTTAGCATACAACATGGATTTTCTCTGCTCCCCTTCTCCTTTGTTTTTCTGAGAGCGAATGCGAAGCTGAGTGGCTGCATGGCCTCAGGGCAGCGGTGCTGCAGGGCTGCAGCAGAGGCAGTGCTTACATCAGTGCCTGTGATGCTGCACTGGGTGCTGGCAGGGCAGTGGGCGCTGGGAGGGACAGCCCATATCCAGCCTGGAGCCCAGCTGTGAGCGGCCACTGCTACCCAGGGAGTTGTGCTGGGTTCCCAGCTCCCATCAGTGCTGCAGGAGAGTGCGAAGCGTGGGTGGAGAGAGCCCTGAGAAGGGACCCAGCTAAATTACTGCCAGTGCAATTGATTTCAGAGTGCACCGAGGGCCAGGAAGAAACAGCAGGTTAAAAGGAAAATGCAGCAAATACTTGTAAACCTTCTGGAGGGCAGCTCTGGTGTGGAACGAGCGATGTCTGCAGAAAGCATCTGTGAAAAGCACTGGCATTAGGGACACTTTGGTTGAGAACACCCCATCTTTAGAAACCAGGGCATTATTTGCTGGTACAAAGGCAGATGAAGAGGTATAATTTATAGTAAATCATCCTGTGGATAATGGATGTGGAATGTGAAGGATGTGAAAGGTGAATCATGTTTTGTAGCATAGCTTTAGTAACCATTATAAAGGCGGCTGGTGGAAAAGTACCCGCGGTGCAGCGCAGCACTGCTGTGCCACCCTGTTTGTTCCAGCAGGCACCGAGGGCTGTATGGTTACAAAATGTTGGCCCTTTGCAGAGCCAAAGCACCAGGGCACAGCAGAGCGGGGCTGTGTGTGCAGCAGGGCCCTGTCCTCCTTGGGAACCCATTAATGCTGCAGTCTGTAATAATTAACGGGACTGGATACGGCTGCCTGGTGGTAATAAGTCAATGACAGGGCAATTTATTAGAGTGATGTATCGCGTGATAATGGTAACGAGAAATGAAGGGACCTAATTTTGTAAGACTTAGATCAATTTGGTTGTTTTTTTTATAAATGAACATTGTTTTAGTAACCACGGAAGATCATTACAATTATTATTTTATTAGTGCTATTCACAACTATTTCGGTTTCAGTCTTCTGAGACCCAAATGGGAGCATAGGAGCGTGTGTTTGAAATGCAGATTGTGCTGCAAGGTGAAAATTCCAGTGGCATTTGTAAATGTCTATTAGGGAGGTGTGGGAGGAGGAAAGGGATTTGGGTGCGTGGCTGTGGGGCCGCAGTCTGCAGGCAGGGGGGGCTTCTCAGACACCGCGAGGAACATCCAGGGCTTCCTGACACTGGGGAGGTGATGAGTAACAGGGATTTCTGCACCTTTGGGTTGGAACACAAGCCCTGGCATTCTCAGTGTGCTGGTGTGTGCGCTGCAGGGCTGGAACATGCAGCAGACCAGGCTCCTGTCTGCACTGAGCATGGGGACAAGACTGCGTGGAGCAGGAGCTCCAAACATCCCAAGATCTGCTGCTGCCCCTGCTGTCACCCAGGAAGCCCTGTGTAGGATGAGGAGTGAAGAGTTCTTCTCTGACTCAAATGAGGCTTGGATGGAGAAGGATAGATAGCTTATTTTATTTTGAGTTTACACTGTGCTGAAATGAGCTGCGTCTGCACGCGTGATGAGCGCTGCAATCTTAGTGCCGTGATCAGCAATAAAAGCTCATGGCAATAACTTGCAGCAGGGCCTGAGTCCTGCTGTGCTCTCCATGTGGTCCCATGTGCTCTCCAGGGATAGAGATGACAGGGAAAAGGCATTGCTCTAAAAACGTAGGATACAGTTCTGTGCTGACACTGTCCGAAGTCACTGAGCTTCCTGGTTGAAGAGGGCAGGAAAAAACCACAGACTTGTGGTGATAGGGCTGTGGGCTCCTGCTGCACGTCCTCCTTGTCACCTCCTTGTGACTTGCATTCACTGCATGACGTGTCACCATGTGGCCTGTCTGGGAGCAAGGCTCCAGTGTCCGTGTGTTCCTGGTTGGGAGGTTTCCTCGCCCGGCCCCCTGCAGCCAACGCGATGGGGCTGAGCCGTGAAGGCAAAAAAATGGGTGAGAAAGGATTGGATTTTGGAACATATGAGGTCACTTGTTCAGCTGGAGAGCAGCATGTGTCAGAGGTCCAACAATTTGTTTTTAGAAGGGTTTCAAGCATTAATGATTCAAGATGTTTTCCTGGGAGTGGTTTGCAACATGAGCCTCGGTGGCCGGGGAAGCGTTGGGGTTTGATGGGATTAGCCAAATCCTGAGCTGCAATGCCTGCCATAACACAACCGTTGAGGCTGTACTTTTCCACATGGCTGAAGCTCCCCAGAAGTGTCAGGAAAGCAAACAGACTCATAAGCCTGGTGCCAGGCAGGGATGGGGGTCCATCCTGATTGCTCCTATCACCTACTTCTGTTGGTTTTCTTTTGCAGAGTTGCAGATAACCACAAGCAGAACCTGATGACTGTTGCTAATCTGGGTGTGGTGTTTGGGCCGACGCTGCTTCGACCCCAGGAGGAAACAGTCGCTGCCATTATGGACATCAAGTTTCAGAATATTGTGATTGAAATTTTAATAGAAAACCATGAGAAGGTAAAGACTTTACTTGCTTCTATCACTACAGTTTATTTCCTACACCTGATTTGTCACTTTGCAAGCTGCAGCCCAGTTCCCCAGGGCCCTCCTTGCTGACTGTGGCCAGCAGCCATAAAGGGCCCAACTCTGTTCCTGCTTTTCTGACTACATCCAAGCACTGACGTTCTCCACAGCACTGATCTGCTGTGACAAGGCACAGTTGTGTCTGTTGCAAGGAGGCTCCCACCTGTTGCTGCCTCTGTTGGTGCAGCACTGCAGTAGCTCTACTGCAGCTGGAGGACATCCTGCCTAGGGCACTCACTGACCCCTGGGTTTCTGGTCACCTTCAGGGTGATAACAGGAGAAGGCTCTCAAATGAGTGCCCGTGGGAGGCCATGTAATTCAGCAAACGGCAGAGTGCTTGTGCATGCATGGAGTGGCAGTGAGGCACAGCATCCTGCAGGGCCACTGTCCAGAGGTGGTGTGTTGCTGAACTTCCCATGCAGTGCTGCTGGGTGCCTGTGATATGAAAGCAGCCTGGGCTAAGGAGGATGTGATGCTCGGGGCTGTCTGCTACTCGGGGCTCTTTCCAGAGTCTGTTAGCCCATCAGTTGCATGTGTTAAGCTGCAAGGCTGAGTCCCACGTGCATGTGGTGCAGGTGTCAGCCCTGGGGCTCATCTGCCTGGTGCTGCCAAGGGGCAGCGAGTGCATGTCCAGCAGGGATGGATTGCATGTTGTTGGAGAAATTTCCTCCGGAGGCAGATAAACATCGTGGTATTTATTTAGCGTGGAGGAGCTATTTTCTCTTATCTTTGTGGGGTGCAGTTACAGTGATTGCTTAATCGTGTGCTGCTGCAGAGGGGAGTGCGAGCAGCGGCCGTGAGCCTGTGGCTGAGCCCCAGCCCTGTGCTGAGCAGCAGGCATGAGCCTTGTGGGCTGTTGGTGGCCATCCACCAATCTGTCTGTCCATCATCCGTCTGTACATCTGCAGTGTCCCAGCAGTGGCACCAAGAAACCATTCAAGCATTGTGTCACTGCTGTGGGTGCACTTCGCTGTCTCTTTCCTCGCTGAGCCCTATGGCTGCCTTCCCCTCGCAGGTCCTTGCAGCAGCAGGGCCTCAGGCTGGTTCTTGTTCATTTCCAGCCGAGCCTCCTCCATCAGGTGGCACCTGGGGGGATCGATGACGGATTTCTGCGGTGATGGTCTGTGTGGGCTGCAGTGCTGCTCACCAGCAAAATGACACCTGTGCCGCAGGGCTCCCGAGTGCTTCCATGGCTACCCTTCCTTAGGAGTAATTTATGGCACCAGCAGAAGGGAAGGCTGTGACTGGGCTGTGTGCTGCCGTCACGCCGACTGCGGGTGGGCGTAAGTGCTGCGTGCTGTCTGTGCTGCCCGGCTGCTCTCATGCACTGGGTACTGATGGTACAGGATGGAGAGATGCTGTTTGCACTGCCTGCACAAAGGCACGGGTACCGCGTGGCACAGTGATGCTGCATGCAGGATGCTGTTGGACCCATGTCCCCATTTCTCCTAGATTCTCCAAGAAAGAGGGAGGTGGCAGGAGGCAGCAACTGGGAGGAAAATCTCTTCTAAAGTCAGCCCCGGTGCTGGTTCACTCCCTCTTTAGGACTGTTTAGTTTCAGTGTATTCCTTAATTTGAATGGATTGGAACTCATTGAAGTTTCCCTGCAGGAGCTGCTGTAGGTGATTAGCAATATGCGAGCCCTCTGTGCTGCGCTGCTGCTGCTTTATATTGTTTTACGCTGGTGACTCACAGCCACTGTTTATGATTAAGTGCATTCTCAGGGAAAATGTAATTGATTTGAATGGTTCCTGGCAATCAGCGACTGTCTGGTATTACATTATATTTCCCTCAGGTAAGTGGGACGCCTCTCCCATTAAAATTGCTGTTGTCACAGTAAGGCACAGAGCACTGGGCTGTGCGTGTGCCCAGAGCTGCAGTGGGGTGGATGGGAGCCCTGAAGCACTGGAGCTGGGGCAGATGTGCAGTGTATGTTTGTGAGAGCAATGCAGCAGCATAACCTGCTGCAGGACATGTGTGGGATGCGTGCTTTTAAAGGATAAAATGGTTTCTCTGCTATGGCTCAGGATGTTACCATGACAAGCAAACTGAGAGTGAATCCTCTGCAAGAAACCAGGGATGCAGTGTTGTATTGGAAATTTGCAGCTCCAATGCTTTGGAAAAGGCATTTTGTATGAAGTGTTGGGAAATGATGAGATCAATGCACAGTGCTGCTGGTGCTCCCTTCAGACCAAGGAGGGGGCAGCTGACCTGTGAGTGGCACCTTGCTGCCCACCAGCAGGGCTGGTTTCTGCAGGGTGTTACCCAGACCCCAGCACTGCCTCAGTCAGTACTCAGAGTTAACGCTGAGGTCAAAGCCCTCAGCACCTCATCTTTATTTTCTGCAATTAGCAAAGCTTTGTAGCAGCGACGTCCTTGGCCTTGGAGCTTCCAGCTGAGGCTGGAGGGCAGCTCCTTGTGGAGCATCTCCTAGGTTTGGCTGCGTTCCACCAGGGGCGCGGGTTGCTCCAGGAGCCTCCAGCTGCACAGCGAGCATGGGGGCTGTACGTGTAATTTATGGAGCCTGGCTGCTCCTCTCCCACTCTGATGATTAAACTGTCTCGCTGTCTCTGTTAATTGGATTCTGGGATGGGAGAGTTAGAACACAGGTTTGCTCGGTGAGGAGCATGTCTCAGTTATTTTTCTTAAACTGAAAAGTGAAACAAACCGAAGAAGCATTGAAATGAAGGAAAGCAGAGCTCCGTGTGCTGCTGGGCAGGCTGGCAGGGCTTCTAGGGGTGTGATGCTGCAAGACCACTTCTGTTTGTTATATGGCTCTGGGTCCTCTGACTCCTCCCTCTTCAGAGCTTCAAAATAAGCATTGGTCCTTTTGGACAGGCAGCTAGCTCTCGACTTTCCTCTGTTGAGAGTGGTCACATTTAGCCTCAGTGCTGTGTGCCACCCTTAAGGGGTTGGGAGGCAGCTCGGTGTCACTCTGCCTCTGTGTCCTGCTAGTCCAGCTGTGCCCTACCATTGTCCAGCTGTGCACTGCCACGTTTGCATACCTGGGTGCCTGCTGGGGTTCTTGCCCAGAGCATTCTCCCACCACCTGTGAGGGCACTGCAGGCCCTTCACTAGAAGCAGCCTACCAGGTTGTTGGGGTTTTTTCACATTTTGCACTGTGTGCATTTGGTGAAGAGGAGAGAAAAGGAGCGCAAACAGAATGAGAATGTGGAGTTTAGGAAACGGTGCCCCACGTGTTACTTTATTGAATGCGTGACCTCCGTTAATGCTGTTCCTTGGTGTGATGGCGGGATGCTGAGGGCAGAGAGCTGCTCTGCTTGAGCAGCTGATGCTGAAGAGCCCTCTTTGTTGGCTTTCACAGATATTTAACACCGTGCCGGAGACGCCGCCGTCGAACTCGCAGCTGCTGCTGTCCCGCAAGAAGAGCGCAGACTCGAAGCCCCCGTCGTGCAGTGAGCGGCCGCTCACCCTGTTCCACACCGCACAGCCCAACGAGAAGCGTAAGCGCCCCCTCCCCAGCCCTGCCCCGTGTCACTGCACAGCACCGTTCCCCTGCCGTGGAGCACAGCTGTGCTGGTACTGATGAAAGATGCGTCCTGTAAGGGGACGGGGCCTCTGCTCACTGCGCTGCTGTGCTGATGGGGAGTGCGATGCCTGCCTGGCATCCCAGGCTGCAGCAGGCTTGGTGCAGGCTGCATTGATGTGCTATAGGGTTGCTGCCCCATTCCCAAGTCCCCAGCAGCTGAAGGGCACAAGGCAGAGCCCGTGGGGTGTCCAAAGTTGATCCTTATTTCTTGCTGGATGCCCACAGGCACTTTTACAGATATAGCAGCCCCGGCCAGGATGTTCTGTAGTTTTCTGTGGAGTAGGTGGATCATCTTTCCATTTTGGTCTCTATTTGGTGCTCTGAATATGTTGGTGAAGGAGTCAGCACCTCCTCCCATCTACTCTGCACACGGCTGTCTCACATGCTACGGAGCAGAAATACACAGCAGGAGTTTGCTGTTCTGCTCCCTGAGCTGTGAGACTGAGCTAAAAGCCTTAGCAAAGAATCCTGCGCTTAAACTGAACGCGGTATCAGACTTTCAGAAAGAAGGAAATAGAATAAAGGGATGGTTTCCAATTCTGCCATTCATCTCCCATCTTCTGTAGATGAAACACTTCCAGTTTCTTGGCTGATAGGGACTTTAATTCAATGTTGGCTGGTAGCTGTGTCTGAGATTACACAGACAATTGACATTGATTTGTTAGGCTTACAGAGCTTATTTTCGAACTTTAGCCTCAGGCAGAAAATGTTTAGAAACAACTGGATGTGGCATCTGAATAGGCTGCAGGGCACTGCTGGGCCGTGCCGTGCACAGAACGGCTCTGAAAGCTGTGCTGTTGGGAGCAAAGATCAAGGAGTGCTTTGGATCGACCTTTTTGGGGCTTTAGGCCCTTTGGCAGGTTAATTTCTCCCTTATTTCGTCTGCTGGCTGCTCTGTCTTCCAGTCAGTGTTTGGAGAGTTCCCTTGATAGCCTGCTGGAGACCAAGATTCATGGCATGCAGTTTCAGGAACTGGTAATGTGTGTTGATGCAATTATCTCATCCTTGGCATTGGCTGGTCTCTGGATGGCAGCCTGATCTAAATGGCGTTTGAGCCTCTCGCTGCCTTGTAAGCACTCTGACTTTGTCCAGGCAGCACGAGAACTCGATGGCACGATGAGCGATGTGACGAGGAGTGCTGGTTCGCTCCTCCCTTTGCAGCCATGTCCTTTTGGGCACGTCATCATTTTCTTTTGAAACGGTGGCAGAGGGCTCACCCAGCATCCCACCTCCCTGACCCTGAGGCAGCACTGCTCCCAAGCTGTTTTCCAGGCATGCAGGGTTTCCTCTCTGCTGTGTGCTCAGGATCAGCTCTCCATGTAGCTCGGGAGTTTCTCTTACACTGCTTTCTCCTTCTGCAAGTATTAATTGTTGTCCTAATGCAGATGTGTAATTGGAAGGGATGTATAGTTGGATGGGCTTGAGAATAGGGGCTTCTTTGTGACCGTGTGCTTTTTAGTAGCAATTTCATCATATCATCGTGCACAGGAGATACAATTCCTTTGAAAGATTTGTCATTAAAGGAGCACTGCTAGTGTTTTCCAGTAGTTGTCTGTCTTTCAGGAAACATCATCACAGAAGTGGCAGTTCTCTGCAGTAGAGCAGCTTTCTGTGCCATCAGTGATGATAATTGCCTCTCTCAATTACAATTGCTGCTTATACGGAAAAAGCATCTTATGAAAATGAATTAATGTGATTTTAGGTAATTCAGCACAGAGATGAGGAGGAAACCCATGCTGGGGAGGTTGCTTTGGGATGCATAATGTTTTCACACCTCAGTGCTGAAGTTACACAAATAAGGGGGACATCTCTTAGCAGGGCAGGATGAAGGGAAATGAAGAGAGCTGAGTCCAGGCTGTGGGCAGTGAGCTGGGCAGCAGGGCAGGTCTCTCTCCTCACTGGTGTTATCAGCAGTGCTGCATGGTGGTTGTGGACCTGGCAGGAAAGGCAGCTAGTGGCTGATGTTATGTTCAGACTGAAGCATTTTTTTGTTTGGATAAACTTCAATTGGGTGATCTGTCTTTTTCTCCTTCCATAACTGTTATCCCCTCTGTGGTACCTGATTTCAGCCACAGACAAATGCATTCCTGTGTGTAGTCTCATCCCTTTCTTTCTTGGGTTGTGTGGGCCTTTGGAAGTCCTTGGGAATGTAAAACATTAGTATCTTGAGAAAAATCAGTATTTTGTTGCTAAAAATGTCATTCATTTAAAATGTTGTTGCATCTTCGGAAAGAGAAAAGAATAACTGTTGCTTCTCATACTTCAATGCATAGTGCATAGAAAACATGCCTGGGAACTCAGTGCCTGTCTGTGGAGGTCTGGTAGGATGCTGCTGCATTTACACTGGGGCAGGAGTGATGGGCAGGAGCCTGGCTGCCTCTGTCCTGCAACTCTTGGGGCTTTTTTTTGGTGTTTTCCAGAGGAAAACAGGAACAGCATCATCAACTCCAGCCTGGAATCCGTCATCTCTTCAAATGTAAACAGCTTCCTCAACTCCAACAGCGCGCCTCAATCCAACCTGAACTCAAGTGATCTCGAACTAGAAGTAATTAAACCCAACAGGCCAAACTCACTGTAAGTACGGTGGTAATTAGTATTTTATAGGCTCACCGTCCTTAATCTTTAATCAGGGCTGTTTCTCGCTCTGAATCCCAGCAGTTTGTTGAAGAATGCAATTTAATGCTTTAATTTTTAATGGCCGCTCAGGGTGCGTCCTGCACGTCTCGGTCTGAGCAGTGGGATTGGGGGGGGGAGGTTTGCTCAGCCTGCGCCTGCAGGGTGTGCTCCAAGCAGAGCCCCGCACTGCTGTTTGAACTGCTTGACCCATCTGGAGATAACTCCAGCAAGCACAAAGGACTATTCTTCTGACTTAAATCTATGACTGTTGTCAGTGCCGTTGATCTCCAGCCAAATCTGTGCCATTGCTTCTGCTATTGCTTCCTTCATCTGAAAAGTTCAAGGGAAAAAATAGCGACCTTAGCAACGACTCCCGGGGGATGGCGGAGTTATTTGTGCAGTCCCCTGGATTTGACACAGCCTCGCACGGCGGACGGCTCTGCCATGGGGAATTTCCTTCCTGCCGTGGTCCTGCTGCGCTGCGCATTTTCCCACAGAACTCCTCTCCTGCACACATGAAGATGTGCTCTGAGCCCCGCAGCCGTGGTCCCTCGAGCCCAGGCTGATTCCCCGCGTCCACGCGGGTCTGTATGGGGTGGCCTTCCTGCCCCGTGTCCCCGTGCAGCCTGCAGCGCAGCCCCTTCTCACCAGCCCTGCAAACAGGCCCTTAGGAGCCCGCGGTGAACACTTGTGTTCAGCAGTTTCTCCTGGGTCCCCACAGAAATGGCTCGGTGCCGCTGCTGGTGCGCCTGGCCACGGCTGTCCTGCCTGGCATGGGGTGCGGCGCTCGGGCAGCAGCATGTGCTGAAGGTAAGTGCACAACATGTGCAGAGCAGGGCTCTGGCCGTCACCCATCGGCTTCGCCTCCTTCCCACCACCTCTGCTGCCCCAAACAGCCAGGCCTCGTGCCAAGGCTGCACGTTCCCCCATCTCAGTGCTGCTGGTGGCCACCGTGGGACGCCGTGATGTGGAGGTTCCTGTCCACAGGTAGGACAGCTCTGTGCTCAAAGCTGGGTTTTAAAGTTTGCTGAGATGCCTTCGTTTGTCTTTAAATATCTGTTTTTGACTTCATTTGTGGTCCTGTGAAAATGTTATCGCTAGGTTTCCTCCACATTGCTGCGGTAGCTGAACGGACCCAGATTGTTCTGTTCCCTTTGCTTGCAGCTGGCTCCATCTGGCCCATGGTGCTCAGCCCTACTCCAGACTGGGCAGGCTGGGGGCAGCAGCAGGAGGTGTAGGTGGGACGGTTGGGGTCAGAGCAGCCTGAGTGGTGCCAGAGTCCCACAGTGCTGTCCTGTCCGCCCTGCTGTGCGAATAGCACCTGTACAAAGCTGGCCCTGTTCCGTTAAGCAGTTGCAGTGGCTGGGGCTCTGCAGTAGTTCCCAGATGCCCTTGGGCACTGAGGTCAGTTGCTGTTATCTGTTGGAGCTGTGAGTTTCCATCGCTCCGCTGTAGTTACAGGAGCAGCAGTGCGGGTGCGTGGCAGCAGGCAGGCTGTGTTGCTGCCTTGCTCTTGGTGCTTCCTCAGCTCTGTGCCAAACCCTCTGCCAGACCTGTGAGACCCATCGTGGAGCTCCTCTTCAGTTTGTTGTTTTCTTGCATTCTTCACTGTTTTCTTTGAGTTTCTGGCTGTGGGTCAGGGCTGCCCCATCTTGTCTCAAGGCCGGGGCAGCTCACTGCGCTGTGGTGTCAGTGCCTGTAGCACAGCAGCTGCAGAGCCCCAGGTGTGAGGAGGGTGGGAAGCCCTGCTTTCCTCCTGTAGAGAAAAAAGGATTTCTTTTTGAACAAAGAATTCCTTAAGAGAACAAGCAAGGAATCCTGGATGTGGTGCTTCCTTCCATAAAGCAGCAACAGCACAGCTTAGTAAATTAAAAACTACCCCAAAACAGAGTTGATTTTGTTTTTTTTTTTTTTTTTTTTTTTTTTGTGTCTAAAGTTACCACTGAAACAGAGGAGCTGTTGGACACTGCATGCAGCCATCGCTGACCACAGCCTTTTACCTCTTTGCTTTGCTGCTGTCTAACAGGCAGGTTTGGTGCCATTGCTGCTGGTGGATGGGCTTGATGCCATTGGTTGCCCTGTCTCAGGCCCCCGGCCGATGTGGGCATGGTGACCCTGGTTTATTCACTTCTCATATGTTTCTGCTTACATGAGTTAGAACTGATAACTGCTGATCTCAACAGACTTGTTGGAGTAAAGTCAGTTGTGTCCAAAGAAGGACAGTGGAGCTGTGAGGGGTCTGGAGCACACATCCTATGGGAAGCAGCTGAGGGAACGGAGGTTTTCTAACCTGAATAATTCTGTGGTTCAGTGGTGAAGAATTACAAATGCAGGGGGATTTCTCGATTTTGTTTTGCTGCAGTGAGCCCTGGTACATTGCGAGGTGGCCTTAAAACGTGGCATTAAATAACGGAGCGCTGTCTGTGGGGGTGGAGACGTGTGAGCTTTGTGCACCCGGCTCCCCATCCCAGCGGTGCCATGCTCTCAGGCCTGCTCAGTGCTCCTGCTGCTCACATCTCATGCAGAGCAGCTGCTCTGCCTGTGCCTGCATGTCAGGGGTTTGCCTTCCTCAGTCCTGGTCCTCCATCACCAGCCCGGAGGGAAATAGTTCAGCTGTGGGACGAAGGCTCTTCCTTCCCAGCCACCAATCAGGGTTTTACTATGGGAATGCGCTGATTTATTGGGGCTGGGTTTATTTTTATGGAAGAAGCGCTCGGGGCGGGAGCTGTGCTGTGAGTCAGCAGGGCTGCTCCCCGCCAGGCGCTGTCGCTGGGCACGAGGGAGCGGAGCGGCTGCCTGCTGCCACCCCCTGCATGGGCGCTTCTTTCTTTTGAAACGATCTCTGGTTTTCTTCACTTCTGACGTTGCAGAAAGCTGCTTTAGAAGACGTGGCAGAAAAGCCTGTGTTTCTACCACCGATGGATCCTTCAGCTGCAATGGGGGAAGTTTTCAAAGTAAACTGTGTGATCACGGTGATTTGAGAGTGTGGTTATTAAAATCCCCCAAGCGAGCACCTCGCTCTGGTGGTGCGGAGATGCATTCCTGTGGGGCTGTGGCTCGGTCCCTGCAGATGACTGCAGGAGCTGCTTTTCAGCTGGGCATGCTGGGCTGACAGCCTGCTTGGTGCCTGCTCCTGTTTCTTGTTCTCTCTTTATTTCCCGGCCTTGTCTGTACCCCGTGCTGCCTGCAGACCCCAGCTGCCTGCAGGAAGCTGGCCGTGCTCTGGGTGTGTGCAGCTGAGCAGGGCTGGGTGCTGTAGGCTGGCTCGGTGGCCTTTGCTTGCATGTGTAGTGAGTTCAGTGCCTGGGTGTGCAGCCGCTGCTGCGTGGCACTGCTGCTGCGTGGCACTGCTGCTGGATGATGCTGCTCCTGCTGCTGGGTACTGGAGTCTGTAAAATCAAGGGCAGCTGGGGCTCACTGGATACTGTGGATGGAGCAGCAAGGGTTTCAGTTTCTCCTCTCTTGGCAATTTCTTTCTGTGCGTGACTGTTCTGGAGGTGAGGTGGGGCCAGCTGATTTTCTCCATGTAACCAGACAGGCGGGATTTTTTGTACTGCAACTCCACAAAGTCATCAGCCTGAGCTCTTGTGACTGTGAGCATGCAGCAATGCCCAGGGGGCTTCTGCCTTCCCTTTCAGAAGGAGAGCTTTGCACCACAAGCACAGGGTGCCTGCCACTCTCCGGGCGCTGTGTGCCCAGCAAACAGCACCGTGCTGTGGGAGGAGAACGCTTCTCCCTTCCTGGAGTCCTTGGCTGTGTTTTTGCAGTGCTGTTTCCCAATGGTAGCTCTGAGCATTTATTTTATCACCTCCCACCCTTTTTAATGTTTTGCTGCCAGTGAAGAATGTTCCACTGCTTCTGATACAATAAAGTGCAGCCCAACAGTACTTTTGGGATGGTTCTAAGTCACATGGAAATTTCCAAACAGTTACTTCTTAGAGTTTTCTAATGCACTCTTAGGGATAGTTGATTTCTGAAGTTACAAAACCCTCCGTGTGTTATTGAGCAGTGTTCTCAGAGACAAAAGCTCCCATTTCTGGGCCGCCTGTATGGCAGCGTGCCTGGGGACCCGGCCAGCACTCGTGGGACCTGGCAGCTATGAGAGGGTCGTGCAGAACTGCTCTGCCCTCAGCCCTGAGCATCAGAGAGGGGCTCTGGGGACATCCGCAGAGTGTGGGTTGAAGGCAGCAGTGGACTTTGCCTTGCTTTGTTGGACTGTGTTGTGCCATGCCGTGCTTGTTGTGCTGCGCCATGTCATGCCATCCCTGCCATGCTGTGCCTTGCTGTGCTTTGCCTGCTGCCCTCACTGGAGCACTGCAGGCAGCACATGGCTCCACAGCTCTCTGAGTGGTGACAGGGCAATTCAATCCCAGGGATAATTTTAGAGCAGATTGTGAGGCTGTCCTTTCGTGAGGACACCGCAGCTCCGGCCATTGCAGGCGGGCGCCGGGCAGGGAGCAGGGGCAGGCTGTCCTCACACGCCTCGTCCACGCTGGGCATCCGTCCTGGCACAGCGCTGGGGTGAGCCTGGCTGCAGAGCCAAGCATGAGGCTTCCAAGGCACAGCCGGGCGCTTGGAATCATGAAAGCCCCACAGGAGCCCCTTGGTTTGGGATGGAGGCCAGGAGCTGCCCAGCTCACCCCAAACTCCGGGAGCCGGGGTATGGTGGGAAGTGGGGGCTGCGGCTGCCGGGGGGGGAGGGGAGGGGGGCAGAGCCGGGGTGCCTTTCGGGGGCCCAGGGAAAACCACAGAGCCTGAAGAGCAGGAACCAACATGGTTGTGAAGCATGGAGGTGGGGCAGGAGGATTTACCTGAGCAGAGCAGGCACAAAAATGCACATTTTTCTGTGAGGTGCGACCGGAGCGTCAGTGGTGTGGGTGGCTGTCTCCAAAAATACCAGACACACAGCTTTGGGTTAGCTTTGTTTTTCACAAATCCCAAGAAGGTACCTGCCAGCA